CATCATATAGAATATTTAGCAGTTTGTCACACTTTAATTCTTGTAATTAAGTATATTTCCCATTATAATCACTTGTCTTGATACTAGTAATCTATAACACATCATATTATATTAAAACCTAGGCCTATAAATAGTAAAAAAATAATATAAATTAATAAATGACTACATTTAAAAGTAAATGTAATAAATGCTCTAAATTAGTTGTTTATTAGAATATATATAATATAGATTTATGCTGTAAAATATTAAATTAAATGTCTAATACTTAAAGGAGAGAGTGGGGTTTAGCCATTTTTTACATATGTGGTCCTCAAGATAAGTTAAAATGATGCAGAAGCACTGGGGATGGGTAAACTTACCCCCTGGCTCAACTTACCCCACTCTCCCCTACTTTCATTGAAGATGAGGCAGAAGCAGGCTCAGAGAGTGAGGGAGAGCCCACTCTTATCAAAACATCTACAATAAAGTCTGAAATTATTACAGAGTGTGCTGTCTTCTCTTTTAATTGTATATTTGTAACAACTGGATATTTGTATTAACAAGCACCCACCCCCCTAGTGCCCCTTTTTTGGTTTTGGGCCACTGCCCCTCAAAATGTCTGTGCACGGCCCTGCACTTGACCATATTTAAGGACAGATGTAATGCAATACTCTTAAAGCAGTTAAGAACTATTTTTCATTTTAGTGAATTGGTTGTGAATTTTGGTGACGTTTTTGTATGACCTTCTTCCTCATTCACGGTTGGGTTTATGGGTAGGCTTTTCAAGCTTATACTTATTTGTAAAAAAGTTTTTGCAAGCAAATGCAAGTTATTTTTTTCTTAGGGGCTCTGTAATTTTCTCATGAGATTGGGTTATATAAGTTATAAACAATTTCTAAAGCATGAAGAATTCACAACACAGTAACTTCTCTAAAGTAGCTAATAATTCAGTATGCTCATTATTAGATATTGTTTCAGGAGCTCAAATTTTCACACCAAGGACATCTTTTACATGCTTGATACTCATTTAAATTAATACATGTTTATTCACTTTTTTTGAAATGTTTAAAAAGTTCACATTTATTTTCAATTTAGTCTGTCATATTATGACACATTTTCATCATTTTGCACATTATTTTATGTTATATATTATTTTCTGATTCAAATCCATGGCGTTTCAAATGGATTAAAATTTAAAAAATAATAATATATTAATAAAATAAAAAATATTATATTAACTGAATTATATCATATTACTGTCACGGGTGTTGCAGAAATACAGATGAAGACAGATGAATAAAGTTCCAAACAAAGTTTAATAGTATGATCCAACAAGAAAGGCAGGCATCAAATACACATAATTTGTAATAGAATATTGAACACATTTACAGGCCATGCTCTCTCTCTCCCTCTAAAAATGTGAAAAAATGTGCAACCCCATGGGTTAGATTTTTCCCTTTATGCTTTCTGTGACTAGGACTAAGCTGTCGACTCAGATTCAAAAACAAACAAGACTTTCTTATGGCCATCTAAAGCCACACAAACAGGTGATGAAATTGAATGTGAACTCAAGGCCATTTGTAGATTATAGCTACATTTTATAGACTAGCAGTTCCTCAGAAATATTCGCAGCTCTCGGTGCTCAGTGTGGTAATTCTCTAAAAGAAAAATCGCCACGGCATTAAAAGGTACCACATCCCGCGCACAGATGGAGTGTGCCACCGCTTCCCATTCCTTTTAGTGGGAGATGTACCGCCAGCATAGTAAAATGAAATGGCCTTATTTGCATTGAGCTGGAGGAGAATAGCTTTTAAAGTGGGTTAGGGTGAAGGGGAGCAGAAAAGACTTCAGAACCGGTTTGAGGAAGAAAAAGAGAGAGACAGAGAGAGGTAAGAGGCTTAGCGTGCTTCGGTGTTTGGAGAACCAGACTGTGAAAGGAAGGGAAATTAGGCTTCCCTCACTTTTCCCTCTTTCTCCTATAGCTAATGAGGCCAATAGTTCCTAGCTGTCAGAGTCATACTGATGTCCAATGTGGGGGCCAGATGTTTTCGGTTTCGCAGTGCGGATCAATAAAGCTACCTGTGTACAGGGTTTAAATACATTGATCATAAAGAGAGACAGCCCTGTGATCTAAAGCTCATGCAGGAAAGCTTCATGGCCTCCAACTGGGCTGCTTGTAAGAAAGGATGGAACGGGCCCCACCGTCCTCAGGCAGGCATTGGCTTTGGATGTTTGTAGGAACTGAGAAGGAATGAAAGCAGAATCAACTACTTATGAAAGAATTCACAAGCTCTTGCACCCTGCTCACAGTGTTGAATGCAAAGGAGGTGTTATCACTGCAGCGCAGTTCTCAAGGGAAGTTGGGCATGAAACACGTTCTCTGCAGAAAGAAAGTAGCTGGAAGATTCTCGGACTGCTCTCGAAAAATGAAAAAGACTGGAGAAATATTAGAAACAGAAACTGTGGTGTAATACCACAGTCTCACAAATGGCACGGGATTGGGAACGATAGCCTGAAACGATAAATGGCATTCATGGGATCCGACCGATGTACTGGTAAAGTTTACAGTCGAAACACTTTCAAATTTAAATACAAAACGCTTCTGCAGTAAATGTGACAGCAGCATAAATGTTTGAATAAGTGCTGCATATCAATGTGGTATGAGAAGCAAAAAGCTTTGTTCGGTGGGCTGAGAAGAATCCTCATCCTTTATTAAACATCTAAGTTCAGGTCAGCTTCATTACCATAATACAGAGCTCTTATACCATGAAACAAACATCCTCCCTCAAAAAGACAGCTTGGTCGACAGATTGAGAATATTGTGCATAGTGTGCAAGTTTTGTTTGTGTACGACGGCTGGATTTAAAAAAGGTGAAACGTAAAAAATGCACCACACAATGAAAATATGGATCTCTTCCCATTAAAAGGTAGCTGGAAAAGGATAGGTAATTTGTGAAATAAATCAACCTAAGCTCATTGGAAAAACATGCCTATACCTGCAACTTTGAAAAACTATAAAAAACGTAACTACCAATACAATTCACTGCAATTTCCAGCTGAAACACCAACAACTTTTATACTTTTTTCCCCAATAAAATGATGCTAAAAATTAGATTTATAGATTAATAAGGGCATATTCTTGCATGGTTTTCTTGCACAATACCATGCTGTGATGCTAAAACTGTTTTAACATTTATAAACTAATACATTTTGTTGTTTGCATCACATAAACAACTGCATACATACTGTTTTTCTGATGTGGTAAACTTGCTTGGTAGCCCACCTGGTACAGTATGGCACGTGTGATGTGAAACGCTTGGGTATAAGTCTGGTAAAACAAAAAAAAATTATTATCTCGTGTTAACACTATTGGTTTAGTGCAGGTGGTATGTCATTTTTAAATGCGATACATTATTAACCTTTTTGCGCCACTCACCGGACATTTCATTTCCAAACTACCATGATATTTACAACAACCAGCATAATAAAATGTTGCCAGATTCACGTTAATCTGTTTTGGATAAAACTTCAGATAAAAAAACTGCTTTTAGCTAAATTCACTGGACATTTTAAAAGTGTTGCGAAACGTGCAAGAAGCAACGTAATCTGTTTGCAGAAATGTCGTTGCAGGCACGTTTTTCCAATAAGCTTGGGTTGAAATAAATATATAACAGAATAAAAAAGGCAATAGTGGTTCTTCTGCCATTGCAAAATGTCAATATGTGCTGATGTGCATGTTTTGGTTTGAATGTAATGAAGGGGCAGAGGCTTGTTTATGTGACCGTAGCGTGAAAAAAAAAAATGAGGGGAGGAGAGAGACACTCATGTTCTCCAGGAGTGGTTCATCATCCTCTCTGAATGGGTTTCTGCTGACACAAATCAGTTTGAAGCAAATGTCTCTCTGTCATAATCACAGCTTTTTATGATCATTTTGCCCTTCCTGCCCTTTCACAGTGTCAGAGAGTAATGAGTGCTTTTATAGAGCTGAGAAGAGAGTGAGAAAATATAGATAGATCGTGTGTATGTATGAGAATGAATCAAACCTCCTCCCTTTGATCAACGCAAAAGAAACACACCACCAAGTTTGGGAACCTGATATGCATCCGATCCAACCCATCAAACATCCATAAAATGATCCTGCTTTTGTGTTGATCTTCTTTATCTTCTGCATTGTTTAAACGATCATTTGATTAGTGCTGACATGATAGCATAGTATGTAAATATTAAATAACCTAAACACACACAAGACAAGACCTAAAGACACAAGACTAAACAGTATTCAGATGTACTCAAGATTAAATAAATAAAATCAGACACAAACTGTCTAACTTAATTCTAACATTTGTATATAGGCAAAGATGTCTAAATTGTATCTTTATGTTTATACTAAATTATTAAAGACAAACAGAACACATAAAGATGATACTTTTGGCAATAATTAATTTTAGCTTTAATAATTTTCTAAATAATTTAGATAATTTATTTAGAGTTGTCTATGCATTCTTTTTATTTTATTTTTTACAGTTTATTATATTGACCAAAACAAACAAACAAAAATAAACAATATTCAACAACTATTCAAATTCATTTCATCCAACAATAATGACATACATTTTCTAATATGTGAGGACTTTTTCCAACAATAGAAAAATTTATTTGAGCAAAAATTAATAAATAGAAAAATTATGACAAACTAAGATGGAAGGGGATGCATTTTATTTTAATAATACATTTTATTGTATTACATAAAATGTTGTTATTCAACAGCTATTTTAAAAGTGCTTCCATAACAATATTTACATAAATGATCAAATTTATGTAATTATCTACATTTACGCAATTATCTGCACTTTATGTATACATAAGAATGTATAGAATACGTCTGTATACAACCAGACAGTTGTGTGCAAATGAACTTTTCTCCTACCGCCTAGTATGGAGGTAATGTGGCAGTGCAAATAGTCCAATCGTGTTCTTTTGCTGACTCAGGTTTCTGAAGACCTGCAATTCAACACTGCAAAAGCTAGCCAACACTCACCAGCAGTCCTCACACACGTGTGTGTCAGCGCTACAGGACTTACTTCCGGTTCAACATGGCGGCATCCATGGCATGTCAGGCGGCTGTGAGAGGACTCCGATCGGCGAGCACTAAACAACTGCTTGTGAGCCGAAACCAGGTAACAGATCGCGGATCTGTACGTTTCTCCTCCAGTGCGTGATGTGACCAGCAGAAGAACGTAGTGTTGCGTGCCGCAGCTGCTGTCTGTCTGTTTACAGCGCCTGATAATGATGCATTAGTCTGCACATAACAGTGAATATATGTACAAATACTCATTTAACAAGCGATACGAACAAATGCTTTAATAGAATGACACACAGACGGTCATCCAGCTCAGTGCTGCTTTGGAGAATTGTTCAGTTTGCCTTATTACTTAACTTGAACCATAAACAATGTGTTTGATAACTGACGTCAGCATATAAATATGTTTATTATACACAATGCATGATCTGCAATGCAGACTTTTTCAATGAATTTAGACAAAGTTTCTGAAGTTTCTGTTCTGAAAATAAGAAATTCTACTCTAGGTTCTGTCCTAAAGTTAATCTTCTGAAGATGTTGTTCTAAAGATTCTAACCAAAAAGAAGAGTCATAAGATAATAATACTGTACATCAGCTTGTATATTCTGCTATATATCATTTCTGGAATACTGATTTCTGAAGTTGATACTTTTTAATAACATTAAATGTTTTGGGGGGCTCTTTTGCTCTTTCATAAGGTTTCACTAGAAATGATTGTTTCACCTTCAGGTTTGTCCTCTATTTATTCAAGCCAGGATCACGTCCATCTGTATCAGCCTTTGACCCATCAGTGATGAAACTTTTTTTTCTGCTGAGCTTGCCATTAGCAATGTGCTGTCAGTCGACGGCAAAGGCTTAAAGGTCATTTTTAATATTTATCTTACGTATACGCAGATTTCCCTGCTGTCATAATTTTTGTGTTTTCTGCAGTATAAGTATTTTTGGCCGATTGTCTTGTGGTCCTCTTTTGGTCTTGCAACATGAAGAGTTTTTGAATGTTTCCTTTGTTTGGGTGTCATTTGACTTGTGTACTGAAAGATTCCTGTGCACAAACAGACCGTAAACCAGGACAACATGACAAAGTAGATCAGCGGTGCAGTTTCAATGGAAATTAATTCAGTCATATGGAAAGTCAGAGGCTATATTTTGACATTATAGAACAAAACTTTTCAAAGAACAGAACAGTTTCAAGTAGGTCATTGAATAGATCTGAGATGCGCCTTCCGTTCTGTTTTAATCCTGACTGATATCCCTAAATAGTTCGGGGGCTGTTGGCACATAAAACAAATGTGTTGGTTGTCAGAGGACAGAGGCTTGCCCTCTTTAAAGGAACAGTTCACCCAAAAGTTAAAATTAGCTGAAAAGGTGCCAACCTTCAGTCCATTCAAAATGCAGATGAGTTTGTTTCCTCATCGAAGACATTTTGAAAACATCGCATCTGGATATGGATAATTGTGGCGTTTTTATCAGCTTTTTGAACTCTCATTCTGACGGCACCCATTCACTGCAGAGGATCCATTGGTGAGCAAGTGATGTAATGCTAAATTTCTACAAGTCTTCTTTAACAAAGAAACAAACTCCTCTATATCTTGGATGAACTGAGGGCCTTTTTTTGGGGTGAACTATTTCTTTAAGAATGGTTGTTTTTGTCCCAAAACTCAGTGGAATAACCAAAGCATAAGGCATGCATAAATATATTTTACTTGTAAAGAGCTGTGTTATAGGGCCCTAGAAAGGGTTTAGTTTATCTGAACCTCCATAAATTATCAGGTGTGTTGTAATGCGTTCACACTAAAATATCACCCATCTACAGGCATCTGATAATAACAGCAGCCGTAATTTAATACCAAAATTCTGTTTGCACATTATTGGCTTCACAATAAACCCCTTTGAACACTACAGATGTCATGTCTGCTTCCTTCAGACATCAATACTGTCTTAAAACAATTTTATTCTGAAATTACTTCACACACAAAGGCACAGCATCTCATAAATCTTTACGCCGCATTTGTACACAGAACAAGGCCTTTAAACATTGGACGTTCTGACTAGAAAAAGCATCTTTCCAGTGACTTTAGTTCAGACAGTCAGTTGAAGCACTGACTGACCTGATTTTGTGACTTCAGTCAATTTATTGATTCAACTCCCAGAATGCAGCATTGATGTCATCATGGAAGTTTGCTTTTCAGTTTAAATGTGTTTTTAATTAAGTTACTAAATCGTTAAATACACTCAGTTTCTAATATCTGTTACTTTTTTGACCTTAGTATTATTCATTTTGTCCCTGAGCTGGAGTTTCAAAGTTATATAGAGGTTCTGTGCTGGAAAATGACATTGGATCAACACCAATTTAGTGTAAAGGCATCACTTCATTACTTTGTGCAGTCCAATTTGTGCTGCCGTAAGATGTGGTTTAGTAGTGCATGCAGAGTGCTTAGATAGCATATATTTTCATTTCTGTTCATATAATGAGATGCAACCCGCTGCAACAGAGTACAAGCCTCATCCATCCGAGAGAGGGCCTGCTCTAATGGGAAAGTACATAGTGCCAAGTGCAGTTATATTATTTATATTAAAATGACTTATTTAAGTCTTGTTTGGTATCGGGGAGAAGTGACATCTTTATGGTAATAGATCTTTAATGGATAGGTTTATCTAAGCTATTTGTGAAGATGATAAGGACCTCCAGATTGTATGTGTGAAGGTCAGAAGTAATTCAGAAAAGCATTTTTTAAAGCACTCATATCGAGACACTAATGAGATGCAGATTGGGACAGCTTTTTCCATTTTTCTCTGAGTTTGGACTTCTCATGTTTGGATCAAATCCATGTTTCACCATCTCCTTAGGAGTCTGGCTGCCAGCCAGTTCTTGACAACGATCAATGAGCTGTTTGTTATTAATCAGTGACTGCATACTTTGACGTTTGCACTAGTGCTGGGTAAAAAAATATATCCATTTTCCGATTAATCGTGATCTTCACTTTAACGATCACAAAATCAATTGCTGAAATCCCAGGATAAATCTTTTACTCTATGCCAGTCTTAACACTTTTCACCGTCAGCGAATATACAGTACAGTTTGAAGTCGAATTTGAATGTGATTAGAAAAAAAATTAATGTGTGCTGCAAAATAATTACAAGAAAATGTCATTCAAAAAGACTTACAAACTCAGGACATAAGCCTACTTTGAATGAGTCTGCTAAATCCTTTACTTAATTAATTAACTTACTGAATCTGTCTAGCGTAAGACCCTTTTTTGTACTCTTTCACTGAAGTATATTTAATAATCTAACAGTGTTAATTACTAATTATTAGTGTTTAATTAAGCAAAAGGTCTAAAAGTGTCATTTGTTTGTGAATCAGACTGATTGAGCTCCATGTGTTTTATTCACTAAAAAGAGCCGGCTAATAAGAGTCATTTGTTCATGAATCAGATTATACTATAGTAATATTTTGCTATATAATATAAAAAATAATAATAATTTAATACTACGCAATAAATGCAATTACTTTTTCATACTTTAAAGGTTCCCTGTATAATTAGCCTCAATACCTTAGAGAGAATTTCTCCTGTTGGTAAGCAAAATACACGTTGTGACTGAAATCAGAATCAGAATCAGAATCGATTTAATCAAATCTGAATTGACTTGAGAGCTAGTGAATCAGAATTGGATTGATTTGGGAAATTTGTATAGATACCCAGCCCTTAGTTTGCTCGAGTCGTGTCACAGAACTGCACACTCTTGTTTTTTTTTTCTCAAGCCTGAGGTTTTACAGAATCTATTTTTGATTTTTTTGGGACTTTTACCACAGAGACAAGAGGCAGTGATTAGCCAGCTGCCAGTCCGCTGTAGTGGAGCTCAGGAGCTGTGACTGGCAGGTAGGTATCACGGCAATTCACTCCCATCTTTTATGACAGCTCGAAAATTAGAGATGGCTTGTCAGTGACAATGGCAAAAAAAGAGAGATGGATTTAAGACAGGCGATGGCCGATAACGCCAATGCCTCCTCAGAAATTCCTGTCTGGACCTAGAGATAATCCCAGAGCTGTTTTCTCCAGCACAGCCCTCACCGCACCAAGGCCGCATCTCCAAACTTAAAGGAACATTTGCCGCTGCGTTCCTTCTTTAGGGCGGGGAAAAATCTTTACGCAAAGATTGAAGACGTCAAAGCTAATTCGCCTCACAGTGCTGCAGCAGCTTGAAAAGCTCGACTGGAGTGTCGAAACAGAACCAGGGGAGTCTGCTGGAAGAGGCTGCTTGTTGAATATTTTAAACGAGGGGTGGGAGGGTGCGACTCCTCTGGTGCAAGAACTTCAAACAGCAGGCGTCTCTCCCATCTGTCCACAGTGAGAACGCATTTACATTTCCTGGCCGCCAGGGATACAGTAGAGCAAGTTTGCTGTAACCGGATTTAAATATCATTTCGCCAAGGTTAATAGCCATTTCTGTTGCTCATGAGGGCTGTTTAGGCTTTTTCAATAATTTAGGAAGGCGGCAATCATTTAGAGTTCTGTCGGCAGCCTTTTGAAGGAGAGGTGCCTCTTTTGAACACTCCTTTGGGACTCGTATTCCGGTCCATTTGGGATAATTCTTCTTTAATGATGATTATGATGAGGTGGTATTTAGTGTTACAGAAAATTAAAAGTTGTTATACAATAACTGCTGTGCCAATGACTTTTGTCTGTCTAGCTTGATAATTATTCAGTTGGTTTGTGCTCCCAAGGATGTCCAAAGGCTCATTTTTTTAAAAGATGAAGAGCATTTTAAACATTTGATTAAAGTTCACTAAATATTCAAATTCTGTGTTCATCTCATGTTGTTACAAACTTGTATCACTTTGTTCTTCCATTAAACACAAAAGGAGAATTTCTGGTCAAACAAGCACTCTAAAAGTCACAAAAGTATTATTTGTGTGAAAAATAGACCGAAAGTTTTGTTGTTGTTAAAGGAGCCACAGCGACTGGATCATTTGAGTGAGTTGAACTTGCGGACCAGATTACTCAAGATTCATGAATAATTCAAACCAGTTTTAGTTGACCAAATCAGCAGATGCATTGATTCAGTGCTGCTTCTCCCACCAATGCACTGAGATCT